GGAAGCAATCACACTTTCATTCTGAAGGCCGACTCGAACCTGGGCAAGGCCCTCCTCAACGGCATGACAAAGTGGAAAGCCAAAAATGCCACACAAGGGACCACATCCACTAGACCCCCCCACCGTGGACAGTTGCGGCATGCCCAGCGCAAGCACAAGTGGAAGAGTCCTCTCTCCGCAAGAAGCTCGCGAACTTCACCAGTTTCCACGACGTGTCGAAGGAGCTAGCGGTAGCCAGAGAAGCTCGAGATGGAAAGGTGCTTCTGAAACTGTGTCCTCAGCTCGAGCGACCTGACTATCCCGAGCAAGCTTACATCCAGCCTCGCCCCCCATCGCCATTCGGAAGGCCTCCGTCTCTAGCTCAGCTTCGGAACCAGCTCGCCGGACCGCAATCTCCCGGATGCTGGCCCGTAGCCAATCCCAGGATGCTATAGCGGCATAGCGCATCAGGTGTCGAGGCCATCGCCCCAGCGAGCATATAGCCCACCTCCATCATGGAAGTTTCGATCCCAAGAAAGTGATAGCGGCGCTTGAACTGCCACTGCTAGCGACCCTCGTCGGGATACGTCTCTGGGTCCGGGAGGGCGAGGATAGGAAAACCTCGCGAGTTGCCATCCGTGGATACACGGATAACAAGTCTAACGAGGCTCTCGTTAGAAAGGCTACGACAACCAAGTATCCTTCCATGCTAGCTAGTTTTGATGGAGGTAGCTGAGGAGCTATCCCAGAAGAACTGTGAGCTACAGCTCCAGTGGATACGTAGAGACATCAGCGGACGATCTTACAAACGAAGAGTTTAAGGAGTTCGATCCCGACCAAGGGATAGACTTGAAGGGGGAGAACTTCCAGTGGCGAGTTTTGGACCGGCTACTCGTGCATGCAGATAGCTTCTACCAGGAGCGAGGCACGCGGAAGCGAGGGGCCCCGGAGAAGGTGTCGAAGTTCAGCCGTAAGGTCCGGAAGCTAGATCCCTGGTAGCCTGAGTGGCTGTGCATGGGGATAGATAGCCGAAGGCTATCGAATATCTCCAGTCAACCAAGATATTTGCCACTTCCGACAAAAGTGCGTCCGTGCTAGCTGAGTCTGTGTCTCGCTTGGTTGTCGCTCGGCTAGCTCGCTAGCTACTTCTCTATTGCTATCGTCCCGGAGGAGATCCTGGGGATGGTGGAGGGTGAAAAAAAAAGCTAGTGCACGTACTTCGTGACGAGGAACGAGTTACGACTATGTGTGCTAGCTTACCTATACCTACTCGAAGCTATTGAAGGTAGCTTCGCTAGAAACGAAGTTTCTTTTGCTATGGTTCATGCAGAGCTGAGATATAGCTGTGACTTGGAATGGCTACGAATATGCATTCCGTGGCCATTCTGGATAAAGTCCCCCTCTTCAATGGGGGGTCAATTTGAAGTACCCACCCTGCCAACCCTGGGGATAGATAGCCGAAGGCTATCGAATATCTCCAGTCAACCGGGATATTTGCCACTTCCGACAAAAGTGCGTCCGTGCTAGCTGAGTCTGTGTCTCGCTTGGTTGTCGCTCGGCTAGCTCGCTAGCTACTTCTCTATTGCTATCGTCCCGGAGGAGATTCTGGGGATGGTGGAGGGTTATAGGAGCTAGTGCACAGATTGGGTTATTGTGGTGTTGGACATCAAAGATGCCTATCTGCAACTACCTCAACAGTAGGAAGTCCTAGTGACCATATCAAGCTGGATGAAGAGCGTGTGCAACATTGCGGATGGTATTGTCTGGAGACCGAAACGTTGTCTACCAGGACAGAGGAATGTCGCAACGCGATGGTGTGAGCATTTGCGAGGTATCCTTGAGAAGTTAGGATTCGTATTCTCAGTTTATGTACCTGCTTTGGCGAGACATGTCAAGAGGAGCACTGAAGTGTTTGAGGCACTTGATCTTGTACCTAAGTGGAACGGCCACAAGAGCCACCTTGCTACCGTATACCTCGATTGGATATCGATTGATCACCAACTTGAATGGCAAAGAGGATGAAGAAATTGCTCAGGACACAGGACATGTAGTGGAAGCCTACTCAGATAGTGATTGAAGACATCAGAGAAAGCCCGAAGGAAGAGTACATTTTCTGGTAGCATTGTACTGAACGGAGTAGAAGTACTACCCTTTTCAAGAACTCAGAAAGCCACTTCATCGTCAAGCTGCGAAGCTGTGAATTGTGTGCTTTTGAGTGGAACGTGTGGAGAAGCCATACTGGTCGGACGCCTGTTCGAATTCTTGATCGAAGCACCAGTAAAAATTGAGGTCTTATGTGATTCAAGCTCGGCTAAGCCCGGCTGGGCAGTGGACACAAAGAAGAGGAGTTGGACGTTTGAAGCACGTGGATGTTCGGTTATGATTGGGTACGCGACAATATCGTATGACTTGGAACAGCCAAGACAGCATTGAGTGTAGCCGATCTGAACACCAAGAAGTTGACGTGTGCTAGAAGGTCATTTCTTCTTTATTTTTTTTGTCACAAGTCCAGTATTCTGAAGATGGAGAGATCGAACACACTGAAGAAAAGGAGTATGAACAACACGAGCAAGAGTATGTCGGAAGCGACCAAGTAAAGAACCTCATTCGGTTGATTCAAGTATTCAGTGTATTCCGCCCAACTACCGCAGTTTGGATCAAGGAAAGTCCTGAAGGTGTAGAAGCCCCAGCGTGTAGAAGAAGAAACATGGAAGGTATGAACTTGGAGGAGAGGAAGTTCAGCCTGTACGAAGTGGTGACGGTACTCATGGTAGTGCTACTGGCTATCCCGTATCTTTTGAGTGCATTTCGTAAGATTCTACGTTTGTACCCACGGATGGCAACGATCGGGATGGTGAAGATTCATTCTGGTCCACCAACACGAGGACCTTGTCGTGGGAAGCCTCAGGGATTTCCCCCGCCAGAACCCAGTTGTTGGTCTCCTTGTCAGGGTTCGTCAGCCTGGAGATCGCGAGCTCATTCTGTGGCACCTGCAAGAACTCAGCAATCTTCTTTGTCACTTCCTGGATCGTGTCATCCACGCGCAGGGCGATGTCATGGTGTCCTCTTTCGACTTGGTAGCCCAAAGGCTGTCTCGGCAGGGGATTGGGTCTCTGTCGTGGATCTTCATCGTTCGGAAAGGTGTTCCTGCAGACGGCATATCAGCACTGTTCCAAGCAATGACAAAGAACCTCTGTCTCTCAGCCGGGACCATGCCCTCACTGTCCACAAAGCCAGCCCATACAACCCTGTATCCAGCCCACTTCAGGAGGTTGGCCACAAGTTGGTGGTCTTTGTGCCTCGCAAAGCCTGGAAATGTTTCCATAATGACCACCCGCCGCTGCAAGAAGCGAGCCACCATGAAGAACTGGAGCCACGCAACTGTATTCATCACATCTTCAAGGCCTGGTGCATTGGCTGAGCTTGCATAGAGCAGCACATCACCTCCGTGTTGGTGCCATGCAAGCATGCAGTCCACCTCATGGCCGAAAACTCACCCCAAAAGGTGTTGAATGATTGTTGTCCACCTTCATTGGCGAAGAGGATCGACTTCGGGTCATTGAGCAAGGAGGAGGACACAGCCATTCCTTCGTTGTCGATTCGAAGGACCGACTCCGCTGGTAGCATCTCACATGCTCTTGTCCAGGCACTGTAGCCTCCACAGCATGCCTCCATAATCGTAAACACCAGGTCCTCACGGTTGGAGAGGAGGATTGACGAGGTATTTTCCGTGATCAGCGGGAAGCGAATACAACCCTCGCACATCAACAAAAATTCTTGCCCCAATCAGGAAGTAGACCTCAGCTGCAGCCACCTTCTTTCCAAAAGCAGTACAATCAAGGAGAGGGTGTCACCAGTGAGCTTAGGCAGACGCACATCATCAGGTGGGTCTTCAAAAGCATTGTGCAAGTGGAGGTCAGCGATCTCTGCCTCACCGTGGTGGGTCGTCGTCATCGTCTTGACCTTCAATGCACAATTGAAGGTATGTCCCACCTGGATGTCCTCAATCTCCCTGGTGATGTACCATCCAGCATTCCTCAAACCATCAAGTCTATCCAACAGCGTCGTAGCCGCCGTTTTTCCGAAGAAGCCTTCCGTGGCTCAGTGCTAGTGCAGCCTTCCATGGCTCAGTGCTAGTGCATCGCAGTGCTCCGGCCACACCACTGGGAGGTCCTGAGCCTCGTGGCTTTGGAGCTGATGGATCAGCTCGAGGCCATTGACCCGCGGAATGGATGACGTTTGGTGGTTGGATGTCATCTTCGTGGGTTCGTTGTGCTTAGCAAAGCAAACGTTTGAGACGATGGCATGCAGTGAATCAGAGGTGCTTTTCTGGCTGCGATATCAACTTTGAGGTGACCATCCGCAACGTGGAGGCCGACCATCGCCCCACATAGTATGCGCAGATGTTGGCGGCTCCCGTCCGCGGCTGCAGCAGGGCTCCACCCCGTCAGTTAGGCAGTGCATGGTATGAGTCAGTTCGATCAGCGAGGAACAATGCATTGATGGGGTGTGGCGGGGTTTGGGGCTTCAGGGTTTCAGGGTTTAGTTAGTTTAGTTTAAATTTAAGATTCCAACATGTCGTGGCTGGAGTTTTCACTGGCGGGTGCCTTCGGCCCCAGTCGGGGCAAACACTTGTGTTCAGGGCTTCGGGTCAGTAGGCCAAACTAAGGGTTGGAAGAAAGGGCGGTCTCAAAGACCCGAGTCCTTGGAGTGGAGACCTTGTGCACGACAGCGTGGGTTCAATGCGGCAGCACCGTTATGCAGATGAGTCAGAGGTTGAGCTTTGTACTTTTGCAGTTCGAGCAGGTGCACTTTGAATTTTGTGCGTTGTGCATGCACTGTACAGTGGGCCCAGACCATTGCGAAGACAGGGCATGCTTGTGCTGCCGACTGGTTCGTGCGATGTGATGGTAAAGGTTCACCCGAAGGTGAAAGATGTCCTGATTCGTGACGTTGTGACATGTGCTTGATGCATCCGACACAGACTGGCGGGGGCAGGGGCTTGTCATGTCTCGCTAGAGGTCCGATCTTTCATCGGAAGAGCAAACTGCAGACCCTTTTGCCGGCTGTCTGCCGGGCCGTCCAGTCATGAAGAAAAGCTGCGTGGCCTAACATCGGTGAGCTCAGGGTGGGCCCTTTCGAGCACGATGACGGCTATAAGACGTCCTGCTATCACTTTGAGGTTCGTTTAGTCTCCTGCGTTAGCTTGCCCCCTCCATGCTGCGTATTTGGCAGATCGAATCCCAACGGACGCTTTTCGAAGATGCTGCCCGGCAGTGTGGAGATCTCAACAGTCTAAATTTCAGGCGTGTGTGGTAGGTGTAAACGCTTCGCGTCGTCCGCTTCGGATCATTGGCGGAACGGAGCCGGAGCGGGGGGACGGAAGGGGTGCGGTTTTGTACTTTAGTTCCGTGATCGTTGTGTAAATCTTTTCCCAATGAAACTATGGTATTGAGACAGAATGTCCTGTGCATGGAGGAAACCTCGCGCAGTGCATCACTACTGTTTAGGGATCCAAACTGGCTTCATGGCTGCAGGGTTTCCGTCTGGGTTCCGGCAGTTGAGGGCTCTTGTGAAGTTCCGACGAGTCAGGGATCCAATGCCACCGCTGCTAATGCCAACATAGTCATCACATTCCATATCTAGAAACCCACCATCTCACTTCTTGATCCCTTAGATGCCGATCCTTCCTCACTTCAGCCATTCGTAGTTGCTCCGGCCTGCGTGCCTGCATGCCTGCTTGCCTTAGCTTGCTTGCTAAGGTTGCTGCCTTAGGCAACCCCCAGACGGACAAACACAACAGCTTCGAACGGGGGCCAGCCCGACCTGGCGGCCTGAAGCGGTGGGGGGGGGGTGTCAGGCATTGTGAATTTCCGGGAATCCAGATGGACTTCCGATCGAAGCGACCTTTGTGGGGAGCGTATATCTGTCCAGCCCGGGCTGAGATGCAAGTAGCAGCACAGAAACTTGATCTTGGATCGGCGCGAATGTGTCAGCGTGGCGGATTCATCACGGGATACTTCAAACACAAGCGGCAATAAACACCGTTGCGGGCCTGTCGCACGCTCTGCGGCCGCACCCGGCACCATCTCCTCTCGTGTGACTTCTTGCGGAAGAGATTCGTGTTGCAAGGTCCTGGCGCACTTGTCCTGTCACTCCAAGCCGTCAGAGCCATCATGAAGGCCTTGCGGCCTCGCGCCTCGCAGCCTGAGCAAAGCGTTTTTTCGAGCGTTTTCAGACTGGTCTGAGCATCACAGAAGGATCTGGAGGATGCAGCTCGCAGCTTGTTGGAGCTGCGCCCGCCGCCCAAGTCAACCGTTGCGTTCAGCACTTGCTCTTTGTTTTATGCTCAGGGATCATGTCCGACCTGAGAATCACGATGCAGCGTCGCCGGCTGCAAAGTCCTCCGGCTCGCATGGGGAGCGAAGCGGAAGAGACCGGAGTTATCAGAGCTGTCAGGTGAACTGAAGGCCAAAAAATCCAAGCGCCACAGCCGTCGGAGACTTGGCCATGAAAGCACGGGCAGTTGCAGCATGGGCAAAGTGAGGCATGGCGATGCAAGCGGCGGCTGCAGCGGGGCCTCCGGGTCCCACTTTCTTTTCGCTGTGGTCTGTTCGTGTCGTGCGAAGGCGTCCTCTGGTGGCGAAGCGACACGGGGACAGTTTCCGAACCTGGCACCTCGGCCGGCGGAACGCAGCCGGCTCGCCGCGAATCCGGCGAGCGCCTGTGCAGGTCGCCTTGTTCAAGACGAGGCTCTACCAGCGCCGGGAGGAGCGAGAGGCGAGGCGGCGAGCTGCGATTGGCGCGGCGGCTGGCGGCTGGCGGCTCGCGTATGCTCGCGTGTCCGAGGCTCGGCTCGAGCTGCTCCGCTCGGAAGAGCCGGCTTCCGGCGAGCTGCACCGCGAGTCCCGCGAGTCCTCGCCGGAAGGCGACGGGTGCGGAACTCAGATCCGAGCCTCTCCGCTCTGCTCCTCTGCAGCTCGAGAGTCGAGAGATGTCGAGAGCAGTCCGCAGAGGAGCGGATACAGCAACACAATAGCGGGCAAGGTGCCGAATAGTGCGCGGAACAAAGCCGAGCACAGTGATGGTCAATTAAAGCAAGCGGTGTTGATGGTATGTCGCAGAACATGCAGTGGAGTTTTAGCCGAGACTGCAACGCAAACTGTAGCGGCAGCAGACATACAATCGAACTCAGTACATGTTCAGAGCAAGATGGAGCTTCTCTCTCAGCAATGGCTCCAGCCTCCAAGTGAAGGGGCAGCTGGACAGAAAGAAGCATTAAGAGAGTCATACGAGCCTGTTAAGCAGGATTCGGCTCTCAGTCTGGTAGAACTTTAGGGGGGCGTGTGTTGCTTCTGTGCAGTCGAACCGTTGAGTCGTTGGGGGGACAGAGGCTACGGCCAAGGTTCGGAAAGGGCGGTTTTTGACGGTTGAATGCTCATGTGCTTGTGCTGCAGCAGTAGCCTTTGCTGTTTGCAAACACCGACGATTGGCTGCTCCGGCGGTGTTTGCGCTGATGCCAAGACAAAGACTGTCAGCTCAAATGGGGAAGAAGGGCGAACACCATAGACTTGGCTTTCTTAGATAGAATCGGAGAGTGCACTGCGTGATGTTGTAAGTCTGAAAGTTTAGCCTTGTTTTCTTTGCTGTTGCGAACTTTGGTCCATCTTCAGATGCGCGCTAAGTCAAGACTCTTGCATGCGAGCGAAACAAGCGCCTTCGCTTGCACAAGAACAGAACTTCAGCGAGCAAGGAGTGCTGTCAGCTTGTCGGAGGGCCTAGGGCAATGAATTTGGCAGTTGGTCGATCCGCAGCCCAACCTACGGCCGTTGGATACTCCGATCCGACAGCATTGAGATTAAATCAGCTGGCTGGGGAAGTTGGGTGTGCCGCCGTTTCGGTTCCAACATCTTCTGTGACACAGCACCTTGGCCGCCGACGCTGCGGAGGCTCATGAGAGGACGGCGTTCCGGAGTCCCTCAGAAAGAGTCGAGGCGACGAGAGCTGTTGCCGGAGTGACGACGTGAATGACTTGGAGTGCTTGCAGAGGACGCAAGCAATGGAGGCCGGCCGGTCATGACGACACCCCTCAGCAAGACACCGCCGGTCGCGACCAACTGGGTTCTCACCGTGCTCACGCCGAAGCAGTTCTCCTGTGCCTTCGAGCTGTTGGAGGCCGAGGGTCCCTTTTTCCTGGGTGGGGAGCTGAGGATGAGGGGGCTGAATCTCAGCTGCGCAGGGACAGTCCTATTCACCCATTCCTTCAAGGCTGTCCGAGGCGATGGTACTTGCATTCGCCACAGCTGGAGCGAACCAGGAGGTGTGCAACGAGGAGGGCAAGTGAGTCCTGGATTGCAGATGCAAAGTCCGGTTTCCTTCAGGAAGGCGGAGGACCCTTTATGGTTCCTCATGGCTGCTGGGACGGTTTTGCTGACCTTTACGAAGTACTTGGCGACGGATACGCTGCCAGACGCAGCGCGTGTGTGTGACAAAAACGTACATCACAGAGTTGCAGACTTCTTGAGAAGGGCTTCATGCAGCGCGAGTTTGATCGGTGCCGCCATCATTGCTCACGTGGGCTCAGGTGGACGAGTTCAACTGCACCTACCACATCGAGTTCGATGACGGCATCCTTGCCGATCTGTTTGTTTGGGGCTCCACACACATTGTGTTGAAGGCAACCCGGGCACCTGCCGTGCAACGAGACTTTCTGTGCAGCGAGGGCGCCCCTACACCTGCGAGGTGAATCAAGCAGCCTTCGGACTCAGGCCGCAGGCCTCAGGCAGTTTAGCAAGAGGAAGGTCACGTGCAGGCGAGGCCCTCACGACCAAGGATCGCTTCGGGAGCTCGTCGTAAGTCGTAAGCCTTTGGACGAAAGGCCGAGCGACACTCGACTTCAAGCGGTTCTGCGAAACGGTCCGAAAGCAAGCCCGCCTTTCCCGTCGCAAGTGTTTATTCACGACCTCCATCCACGCCGCAGATGCGAAATCCTAAAGTCTCCGACAAGGGGTCCCTTGTGAACATCAGAGGTCTGTACAGCAGACGGTCGACGTTCCGACGGGCCTCAAGCTCGATAGCAATGTGTTGATCAGCGTCGCCAAGTAAACCCTGCTGTGTTGCGAGCCGCTGCGTGTTGCTAGCCGTGGATGGACCAACACAAACTGATACCAGTCCGACAGTTTGGCTTTGTTATTGTGCCGTTGTGAACCTTGGTCCATCCGTCGGCCTTGGGGCTTCAGATGCTGAGTCAAGACTTTTGCATGCGAGCGAAACAAGCGCCTTCGCTTGCACAAGAATAGAACTTCGTGTACGATGTGCAGTGCAAGAGTGTGCAGTGCGTGGTGTTGATTGTGATGTGTTTTGTCACTTCTGCGAGGTTTGCACCCAGCCAATCGCGAGGCCTGGCTCCTTTTTAAGCTGGCATTCCCAGGCTAGTTTGACGGAGGCTTCGCAGACCGCGGCGAAAGCGGCCGAAGCGACCACCGCATCCGCGATGCGGCCGGGAGAGACGGCCAAGCGCCACAAGTGTGCAGTTTAGATCGCGCACCACGTCTCTCGCCGCAGGGAACAACGGACTCGAGCCTCGACCCGACTCTGGTGGCCATGGCCGGAGCCCCAAAAAAGCGGCGCAGAGCGCGCTCGGCGCAGACGCGCTGCGCAGCGGCGCAGCGGCGCCGCGGCTCCCGATCCTTCGCGCCCATATAGGCGGGGGCCAACGCCCAGCATTTCGTGCCCGAGAAGCTTCCCTGGCAGGCCAGAAGCAGGTTCTGTTCTTTTTCTTGGCGCCGCCATGACATAGTTTTCTTTTCGGAATGATAAACTCATCCTCGTGCTGTGGGCTGCGGCTTGAAGTTGAAAGCTTTCTCATGACCTGGCATCTGCTGAAACGTGTCGCACCCAGTGTAGCACCTCGCATGCCGTTCTCTAGTTCTTGAGTCTTCGTTTTCACCAGAGACAAGCTCGGCGAGCCCTCCGGGCCCCTCCGCGCCCGTCGACGCCGAGATCAAGCGCCGACGACGCCACTGGCGCTTCGACTTTGCGGCACGTGGGGCCGGCCCGGGCCTGTCTTTCTCGCGCCGCCACCTTTAACTCAGTGCCACTGCCAGCGAATCCGAGCTTCTTCGTGTGCTCGCTGCGTTTCGCTTGCAACAAACCTGAGCTTTTTAGGATCGCCGAGCAAAGGTAGACAAAAACACCACCATCAGGGCTTACTTCTTCTGCGTTACGCCGAGACTATCTGGCATGGTGAAGCCACCTGGCGTCACCGGAAGAGAGCCGGGAAGTGCGACGGTGCCTGTTCGCGTATAGTCAGTGTAGTAGCAAAGGGCGAGGATATTGAACTATCTGCCGGCGGCACATCCTCCCCTAGGGCCTTTCCATGCTTGTTGCTCGCTCTCGGTCTTCACATGCTCTGCGCGGTCTCTGTCGCTCGTTTTGCGATTACTGCATTCTCTTCGCCTGACGGCAGCCATGCAGCAAAGCGCACGGTTTTCTTTCAGTGTCAGCGAGCCCAAGTCTGTATTATATAGCTTTGGACGTGACAGGGCGACGAGCTGCTGGACCTGGACAAGAAGAGACCCAGAAAGTATCCTCATGAGAGCCCGTCTTGTGTCCCCTTGGTTCGCCATCCTCAGCTCTGGGATCTCGAAGAGTCGGTCTCTTCACATTGTGGCTTCGCCACTGGCTTCGAGTGGCGGATGCCGTCGTGAGTGTGTTGTGTGCTTCTCAAACGGTTAACAAATCATGGCAAAAGCTAGACCCGCATGCTAATGCTTTGCGAGCACTCTCGAAGTAGGTGTGCTTTGATTTGCAAACGGACTGCATTGTGTTGTCTCCCTTACTTCTTCACCTGGCTTCAGGTGCTTCGGAACATCACGCGCGTGCTGCAGGTCTGCTGGTTCTGGTGGAGAGCTCGGTGTGTGGAGCAGAGAGAAGAGAGAGAAGCCGTGAAGCAAAGGTCGGGTCTCATGGCTTTTCTCAAGGAGGCGATTCTCGTCTCCAAAAGAGGGTTTGGGGTTTCTTTTTTGGTGTCCGCGTCCGGAGGTCCACGTCTACCAGGTGGACTTCCAGCAGCACCCGGCCCACGAGCGCAGGCGGGCGCGGTGGGCGCGTTGCGTCGCAGCTGTTCCGGCGTCGTTGCAGCGTCAGGTTAGAGGCCAAAGGCCCGGAGCCCAGCCGCGTGCGTTTTTGGCCGAGTGCCGTTCTGCTCGGAACGCTTAGTGTGGCTCTTCGATCAGATGGCCATTGCCGGTGGCTCAGCGGCTCAGCGCCAGGCATTGAGCTTCGTCCTTCGGCGGTGCCATATAAGGATTGGCCTCATGGGAGCTTCTTCCGACCACAGGTCATAGTCACTATAGTCCTCACGCCGTGATGTGACCTGCGTGTGAGGGACTTCTCTGCCCTTCCGGGCAATCCTTTCACGTCGCGAGCCCTTTCGTGGGTCCCCAAGACTCTAAGAGCGGGGACAGCCCGCTGCAGCTGTCCAGAGTCCAGGCCGTGTATGCCGCAGCGGAAAGAGCCGCGGCAGAAGGTTCGGAGGGTGACGGGTCGTCGGTGCGCCTGGACGAGGCCCCGCAGGGTCTTCGTCCGAAGCGGATCGCTGCGTCGCTGCGGCTCGGTTGCAGGTCTGGCGTGGCCGACTGCCTGCCGTCGGTTCTGCCTGTGTGCGCTCCTTCGCCCAATGCCTCCTCTTCGCACCAGCAGAGGCCCTTCAGCCGTTTTGCTACATAGACATGGGTCATGGGGTCATCGACTTTGGATTTCCGCCAGGGCCGCATCGAGGTTTGGCGTCCAGGCATTTACGATGTGCGCGAGCTAATGGCCCCTGCCATTTCTCATCCGGAAGGCCATCCCAGAATTGCCTTGGCGTTGGAAGAAGCGCTACTTGGCCATTGCAGTGGAGCGGTCTGGAGCAGTGATAGCAGTGGTATGCTGGGCATCGCTGGGCCAAGGCCGTGGTTGCGAGTGGCCGGCGGCATCACGACCTGCAAGCAGGCGTGCCGGCCCGTGCCGGCGTGCCGAGCAGAGTGTGAGCGGGAAAGGTGGCGACGCTGTTGCCGCAGGAGGTGCAAACTGCCCGAGGCGTTGCTTCCGTCCTCCCAGATCCCCCATTTCCGAGGCCTCGGCGGACTTTTGTTTGCTCCTCGCAGGTTCGGCGGGAGAGTCACAGAGTCGGGCACACCGCGACGGCCTTGCTTTGAGGATGGGACGGCCGCTTGATCCCTGTGGCGGCTGTTCCGCTCGCCGGCCTGAGGGGGTTTTCCCCGTGGCAGACGCTCTCGGAGCGCTCTCTCTCTCTCTCTCTCTCTGACAGGGCATCCCGAGGAGGAGGGCGGCCTCCATCTCGAGCCCACGAAGCTACAGCCAGGAGAAAGGGAAGGGAGGAGGAGAGTGAGAGCATGGTTGGGGTCTAGTGAGTCTAGTCGATTCTCCCGGGAAGGCTTGGATGCTCCGCTGCAAGACCCCTCCAAGGCCGGAAGCGGAAGCGGAGCTCCGCAGCCTCCGCAGCCTCCGCGCACTTCGCTCTCTGTCTGAGGATGCGGTGGCCGCTTTGCACCTGGAGCCGGGGCCGGTGCCACAGAGGGCCACCGCCACAGCGGCGCGGTTAGGCAGAGCCTCGCTGCCGAGGAGTGGGGTGCTCTGGGCGCTGCTGGTCAGCGGAGATGTGGAGGTTTTAGAGACAGAACTCTAAGAGTCTGAGAGCAGGACAGGACAGGAGCCGCTCAGGCCTGGGATTTGCTGGCTTCCCGAAGCCTCGGCCGCTGGAGGCACGCCGCAAACCGGAGTGCTTGTTGCTTCGCCTTCGAACGGCCCGGCGCGCCGAGGGCGCGCTTCTCCGATGGTTCTGGTGCCGCAGCCGCAGCTGGAGAGGAAGAGAAGGAGAGAAGGAGAGAGGCCAGAATTAGGGTCTTCTTGCATACCGTGGACCTGTCATGCATCGACTTAGGCGATGCGGGCCGGGCGGGGCGGGGGGGCGGGGGAAAAATATGAAATCAAAGGTTTCTCCGGCCTAAGTTTCAGGGTTATATCGCTACCCACTTGTCCCTCAGCTCTGTTTTTTCTTAGCCTTGTCCTCTCATTTAGTTCTCTGTTCTTTCGCTACCTGTTGCATTTCCACAGTCCAATTTCCCCGTATTTCCCGCCGAATTTTTTCAAATTTTTAGCCACAGAATTTTTTAACCACCTTATCTATTTTTCAGCATTTATCACCTTATCCATTATAGACAAAGGCTTCTAAGGACAAGCTACCTAATTCATTCCGCTAAACCTACAAATAACAACGTTCCCAAATTTCAACATCTCCACCTTATGCGTTCCTATATTCTTGAAGTCCTTCTTATATCGTTGTTTTTTAATGTTTGTTCTTGTTATGATTTATAGCAAGAAAAAACCTATTTTACTACCCATTCTGTCCCCTCATTCGTTCTAATCTTTTACCAACTTTTTAAGCTTCTGGGGCTTCCCGTGTTATAGTTAGTCCTTTTTATTTGGATTTTCGTTATTATGTAGTTCATTCAGTTTTTCTTGGTTTCTTATGTGTTTATTCTTTTCTCTGTATTGTTTATTATATTCTTTAGTTTTCTCTTTGTGTGCTTCTCTGTAATGCTTTTGATACAGTTTCATGTTTTCTTTATGTGTATTTCTGTATTCTTCCGCTTTCTGTAATCGTGTTTCTCGTGTTCGTTGATACCATTCTTTCTTACGTTCTTTAAAGTATTCATGGTTATCCATGTAGTATTTGTGCTTTCGTTCATATGAACTCTGACCCATGATTGACCGATTTACACAGTCGTTTTTGAGAATGTGAAAACCTTCTCGTTGATACAACTCTTTCCTACTATTACATGGAAAATCTTCGATTAATTCAATTTTACAGTTTTTAATACCGTATTCGTCAAACATATCAAACACTGTTGCCCAATGTTTGCCGTGGTTTTTGTAAGACCTATATTGACATCCATGTCTTAACATTCTTTGGTGAAGGCTTTCACACGTGCTTCCGATGTAGCACTTACTACATTTCTCGTTAGTGATTTTATATATTTTTCCTGATTTATACCTACAGGTTTCCATTACATGTATAAAATGTTATCTCTTTAAAGCATCGTATTTCTTTTTAGGGTTCCTTGACTTCTTAATTATAACTTCTGTCATATTATATTATTTATACAGAGAAGTCAGTTTCACAAAGGTTTGTAAAATACGAGTTAGTTGCATGAAGGTTAGTTTCACGAGAGTTTGTAAAATGGGAAGGTGGTTTCACGAAAGTTTGTGAAATGAGGGTTGGTTTCACGAAGGTTAGTTTCACAGGTTTATGTGAAACGAGAGGGTGGTTTCACAGGTTTATGTGAAACGAGAGGGTGGTTTTACAGGTTTATGTGAAATAGAGTTGGTGGGTTTTTGGTGGCTTGCCCCACAGTGTCCAAACCCAACCCAAACCACACCCAAACCCAGAAAAAACGCTACCCAAAAGGACTTAAAGACTTGAAGCCTTATAGGTTATACGTCCATGGTAGAACCCCAGTTAAGTAATGTAATGAAGTATGTATTAAGTAGTGATATCGGTAAAATACCAAAGAGAGGAAATAGAGAATTAAAAAAAGTTGTAATTAATGGTAATGAATACAGATATAATAAACAAGAGCCGTTTTCATCAAAATTAACCAAAAAATTACAATCAATTTCTAATACACAAGGTTTTAAACGTTATGAGATATTACATAGAGCAGGACAACAAGCAAAAACAAGACAAGCTATTAAATCATATGCAATAAGGAGAAAAGCAACAATCACAGACGAAAGACAAGCATTAACAAGATACGCGAACACATATTCAATTTCTAACATTCATTTAAACGGTTATCGTGGTTTATCGTATTTAAAGTATCAAAAAGAAAGATTAACTGAATATTTGAAAAAAGAAAAACAAATGAAAGTGTTAATAGAAGTGGATGTAGCATTTACTCACCCAGAAGCGGACGACATAAGACACACAATAAGAAGCAGAAGATACAACATATTGAACGAAGAAGATTTAAACAAAGCCATAAACAACATGGCAGGCGACATTGAAGAACAAATAGAAAACTCACAATTAAAACGGTCAGGATTAACAATAAAAAAGATAATGAAAATAACAATCCATTATGACAAATATGACCCTACAAGGGCAGGGTCTTATATTGAATTACCGAAGTGGATATCATTAAAGAAGGCATGTATAAACATTAAAAACGAAGACGATTATTGTTTCAAATATTGCGTTCAATGCTATTTTTACAACATCTTTAAAAATCACAATCCCGAAAGAATGTATCATTATAATAAGTTGAAAAACAATGATTCTTTTTTAAAATGGGGTGATGTTAATTTTCCAGCTTCTAATGATGATATAGATTATTTTGAAGAGATTAATGAAGGTAGTATTTCAATAAATGTTTATGTTATAGACGAGGATAAACAAAAGATAAGGGCAGACAGAATAACAAAAAAATCAAGACCAACATGCCATGTAAATTTATTACGTTTAGAAAAGGATGATAAAAGTCATTATGTATTGATAAAGGACTATTCGAGGTTAATGAGTATGCAAACTAATAAGAACAAAATAAAACTTTTTCATTGTCAATATTGTCAAAAAGGCTTTCAGAAAGAAAACTTATTAACACAACATACTATAAAGGGATGCATGGCAAATAACATTCAAAACGTAGAGATGCCAGAACATGATAAAACATTTTTCAAGAACCATTATAAAAAGCTTAAGTGTCCATATGTTATTTACGGTGATTTTGAATGTTTAACCACACAATCAAATGAAGGTATAAAGGGAACCTATCAGGAACATAAACCATCGGGTTTTATGTTGAACGTCGTTAATTCAATAACAGATGAATGTAAGCCTTATTTATACAGAGGTGAAGATTGCATGAACAAATTCTGCGAAACAATGAATGAGATAAGAGAAGAAATAATGTATGTAATAAAACATCCTTTACCCATGAATGACTTAACAGAACAAGAACAAAAAGAACACGACGAAGCCAAAAGGTGTTTTATTTGCAACGGTTGTTTTGATAACAAAAAAGACGGGAAAAAGAAAGTGAGAGACCATTGTCATTTTACAGGACAATATAGAGGCCCAGCACATGTAAAATGTAATCTTGATTATTGTTTTAAAGATTTTAAAATCCCAGTCTTCTTTCACAATCTTAAGAATTATGATGCACATTTAATTATATCCAACTTAGATAAGTTAGACACAGAAAAAGATGAAATAAACGTAATCGCACAAAACAGCGAAAAGTTTATTACCTTTTGTCTTAAAGAGCTTGAGTTTAAAGATACGTTCAGTTTTTTATCTTCTTCCTTAGATAAGCTTGTTAAGCTAACAAAATACGAAGAAAATGACAAGCGCGAAAATTGGACAGAAAACTTCAAGTTCAGCAAAACAAGCAAATACATAACATCAGATGAGGATTTAGATTTATTAACAGATAAGGGCGTTTATCCATATGATTACTTCACAGATTTTAAGAAATTTAATGAGACATCCCTACCATCAATTGAAGATTTTTATAGCCAACTTACAGAACAAAATATAGAACAAAAAGAATATGACAGAGCAAAACACATATGGAAACATTTTAACATAAAAGACTTAGGAGAATACCACGACTTATATTTACAAACCGATGTGTTTTTATTAACAGACGTCTTTGAAAATTTTAGAACCAAATGTTTAGAAGATTACGGCTTAGACCCAGCACATTATTATACATTACCTAATTTTAGTTGGGACGCGATGCTTTTAAAGACAGGCGTTTGTTTACAACTTGTTCAAGATGAAGAGATATATAAAATGTTTGAAAAAGGGCTTCGCGGTGGCATGTGTCAAACATCCTTAAGAAAAGCAGATGCAAACAATAAATACATGGGTGAAGATTATGATAAATCTAAAGAATCATCATATATTAATTATTTAGATGCTAATAACTTATACGGTTTAGCCATGTGTCAAAAATTACCATACAAAGATATTAAATTTGAAGAAAAACCCCTAACAGAAGAAGAAATAATTAATTATACTGATGGTTCTCTCGGTTATATTGTAGATGTTGATTTAGAGTATCCCGATGATGTCCATGAAAAACATAAGGATTACCCATTAGCACCGCAAATAATGAATGTTACCGCAGACATGTTATCGGAAACACAGAAGGAAATTTATAAATCTTATAATCACAATAAAGAACCTACAGATGAGAAAACAAACAAGTTAATTTTAAATGTATATGATAAACAGAGATATGTATGTCACGTTAAGATTTTACAGTATTATCTGAAACAAGGCTTGAAAATAAAACGTGTTTGGAGAACAATATCTTTTAAACAAAAAGCTTGGTTAAAACCATGGATTGATTTTAACACTAACAAAAGAAAACAGGCAACATCAGATTTTGAGAAAGATATGTATAAATTAATGAATAATGCAGTATACGGTAAGACGATGGAAAACGTAAGGGAACATATAGATTTTGAACTAGTTAATACACCTCAACGTTATCAAAAATGCGTTAATAGTCCTACATTCAAGCATAGACATATAATTAATGAAAATCTCGTAGGAGTTGAAAAGCTAAAACACACAGTATTATTAAACAAACCCATATATGCGGGTATGTGTATCTTAGACTTATCTAAGTTACATATGTATTCGTTTTATTATGATGTTCTTAAAAAGAAATACGAAGACAACGTAAGATTAATTTATACTGATACTGACAGCTTCGTTATACATACTAAAACAGATGATATATATGAAGACTTCCAAGAAATAAGTAATCA